GTGCACTGTTTTGCTGTTATGACGCTGTAATACTGTCCTGTTATGTTGTTATGACACTGTTGTACTGTACTGTTAAACGGTTATAGCATTATTATGTTCCACTGTTATGCTGTTAGAACACTGTTGCACCGTATACCACACTATTGTACTGTTAAGCTAATCTCTGTTCAGTCAGCCGGCAAAAAATCCGAAACGGAAAGACGGTACATCGAAACTGCCGATTTCTGACACATAGAACATGGTCGTTCGTACTGGTGTTGGCAACCAACATCCATCCATAGAGGTGTCCAGTACATCACACATGCAGGTGTGCCATCTAGTTACGAAGTTAGAGCACAACAGCGATAGGTTGCAATGACAGTGATCCTGAACGCTGCAACAAGTAGCAACAGCAACGAGCCCGCCTATATAAAATGTATCACAAAATTAATCTACTTCATCTGTTGTGTATTCGCACATATTTATTTTGATTTCCTACAGATGTGGGAGGTTCCCGCCGGCGCATGTAGTTACATTGGTTATAATTAACATACATCAGGAATTGTCAAAAATAGATACAACAGCATGAACGATTTTGCGATAGGGAACCATACAGATCAAGAAAGAATCGCAACTGATTTCAGAGCGAAACCACTGCAAGTCAGGTGTAGCCTGCTGCAGCATTCCAATAACAACGACCACCGTAACCAACCGCTGATGCGTGCTGGCTTCATGACCACAGGACAACGCTAACTGGAGGCGCGTGCGAAACCCTCCCGCACAGCAACACAGCACCGTCCAAAGCGTTACCTCCTGCGGTGGTTAAGTCGCACAGAGCGCTGAGGATCACGGAAATGATGACGAGCCTGGACAAAACGCCGGCAGACCGAGTGATGCTGATTTTGGAGAGCATGGCTGCGGTGTGCCCTTGCCCGACGCTGCGGCGTTTGTGGCTGGTGCGTCTGCACGACGGCTCCACCGTCACATTTTGTGGTGACGGGGCGCCAGCCTCTAAAAGTCACGGCGCCTGATGGACACGGTGGAGGACACACGACCCCGGACCCGCCCACTCTCTGACGCGGCCGTGGCGTGGCAGGTCCGCCGTCGGCTCCCAGACACGGCTCGGGCTGTGTGCTCTGGGCCTTGCTACACGTGGCGCAGCACGTCCGCCGTCGGCTCCCAGACACGGCTCGGGCTGTGTGCTCTGGGCCTTGCTACACGTGGCGCAGCACGTCCGCCGTCGGCTCCCAGACACGGCTCGGACTGTGCGCTCTGGGCCTCGCCACACGTGGCGCAGCACGTCCGCCGTCGGCTCCCAGACACGGCTCGGACTGTGCGCTCTGGGCCTCGCCACACGTGGCGCACGTCCGCCGTCGGCTCCCAGACACGGCTCGGGCTGTGCTCTGGGCCTCGCCACACGTGGCGCAGCACGTCCGCCGTCGGCTCCCAGACACGGCTCGGGCTGTGTGCTCTGGGCCTCGCCACACGTGGCGCAGCACGTCCGCCGTCGGCTCCCAGACACGGCTCGGGCTGTGTGCCTGGGCCTCGCCACACGTGGCGCAGCACGTCCGCCGTCGGCTCCCAGACACTGCTCGGGCTGTGTGCTCTGGGCCTACGTCACACGTTGGCGCAGCACGTCCGCCGTCGGCTCCCAGACACGGCTCGGGCTGTGTGCTCTGGGCCTCGGCATATGAAAAAGCAACGTGCAGTTGGCGTTTTAGTTGAATGGGTCCACCTGCACAATATCGTCTAAT